CACTGCAGGACAAATGAAAATACAGCCCTCAAACCCTCTGCTACCCTCTTCGCCAACTAGACAACGGAATACGCCGATGAAGGCTCGTTAGGGTGCGCACACAAAGTTAGGGTTATGTCCGGTTGAAGCGCACGCTTAAACAATTATGAATATATAAGTTAAACCTGTTATTATACTTAATCCTGCCTATACATTTTTCAGTCAATGAACGCCTGAAAGTATAGAAGATTTCAAGACAACTCACTAACCAAGCTAAAAAGAGGCTAAATTAGCGCACTTAATACAACATTCAATTTACACAATCAACAAGACTCAAGTCATTAAAAACTTATAACAAAAATCAATAGCATATAATTAATGGGGCATGATTAGATAAGAAATCAGCACTGGTTTCAGTAAGTACTAGATTCTTATCTACATTTTTTGGGCCAGCAAGTTGGCTGACTTGTTTAGGTTAATTCGAATATATTTTTAGTAGCTATCACCATATTATACAATTACCGGTCTATTGGTTTTATTAGTCGGGAACTCGAAGGTAAATTCTTAAAATTATTTACTCCTGGATCTAAAACCTTATCTCCAAGATTCTCCGCGCGCTGGCAGTATACAGCGGCAAAGCAAGGTCGTATCTGCTGTTTTTTATGAATGATTGAAGTTGACAGCAACCAATTAGTTGCAAAAGAGTGAAGAAATATATGCGGTTCTCAGTATAGCTGTACTTCCGTAAGCTTTGTTATCTGGGCAGTTACTGCTGTACAACTTAAGCTCAAGGATAAAAAGTTATATTTACGGGCGAGATGGGCTGCGGATAAAAGTATAAGACTTGAGACTCAACTACAGCCGTTTCTACGCACCGTAGTTGACCCGGATTTTATCCAGCCATATGTATGTCCTTGACCAGTTAGTGTATATTAACTATTATTTAATTTTATTGAATGAAATTTTGATTTTGTTTATAATGTCTGTAACTTTGTTTGTTTTTAATAGTTTTAGTTTGTCACTTAGCACTTCAATATTTTATGTGTTGAAAAAAAAGTTTTATATTCATTTAACTTAATTTTCCTTTTTTTGGATTGTTTAGTTTGTTAGTTAGTAACACTGCATTTATAGGATGCCAATTCAAGGTTGGCTCGAAGGACCATGTTTAAGCGAGGTACCTTCTTCGAGTTCCTTCGAAATAAAAAAGCTACTCACGCATTCGTTTCTGTATATTAGTACATACATATGTTTATTTTAATTAACTTAACGATAATTTATTAGAAAGACGTCGGGTCTGGTGACCTGTACTGGCGCTAGCATCGGACTACTTGCCCATACATATCTCGATTGACAGGCCTCCCGACTTTGTTTCCGCGGACCACCGGACTTTCGTTAACTTTAATAAAGCTAATTGGCCCGGATTCACGGAATTTACCGAGAACGCCTTTAGTGCTCTTCCCACTCCAACTGACGTCACCACTGGTGAACGCTCATTCCCCAGGGTCGTCGTGACCGTTGCCGCCCGCTTCATCTCGGCAGGCCGAATCGCGGAAATCCGCCCAAATTTTCCGACAGAAGCGGCGGTACTAGCCCCCTCCGACACGACACCCTCCGAAGCTCCGATCCCGGGAATCCCCTAATCAGGGATTTAAATGCGGAGATTCGAAGAGTCGTTAACAGTCATAAGCGGAAAAAGTGGGAGGAGCACCTAAGGACCTGCAACCTCTCCTCTGGGGCAACCAAGCTCTGAGCCACAGTCAAGTCGCTGTCTAACCCGACGAGACGCGATGACCGGGTGGAAATTTCATTCGGCGATCGCGCCTCGTCGGACCCGAAGAGATGCGCGAGCTATTTTAGCCGTCTTTTTACATTGCATCCCTCGGTAGACAAAGCGAAACGACGTGTGACCCGCCGTATGCGCAAACTGCCAAACACCAGCGCGGTGCTTGATTTCTCCAGGGAGGAGGTTCAGGGGGTCATCGGGAAGGCGAAGCCTCCAAATCCATCGGCCCCGACGGAATAAGCATGCTGATGCTGAAACATCTTGGACTAGCGGGAGCAAATTTCTCGCGAGGGTCCTCAATCTGTCTTTGACCACCCTGAAGATACCCGACCTGTGGAAAATGGGTAGGGTGGTCCCGCTACTAAAACCGGGGAAACCAGCCAACAAAGGAGAGTCCTATCGGCCGATAACTCTCCTCTCCCCAGTAGCGAAGACACTTGAGGCCTTACTGCTCCCGACCTTCACTCACCATCTGCGTCCAGCAGCGCATCAGCATGGCTTCCGAAAAGTGCACAGCACCACAACAGCACTTAACGCCATAAACACCCAGATAGTCCATGGCCTCAACCAAAACCGACCCTACGCGCGAACTGTCCTATTAGCACTGGACCTGTCAAAAGCTTTTGACACAGTCATTCAGTGCTACTATTGGACATTGAGGTATCCTCATTACCGCCGGGGTTGCAGAGGTGGGTCATGGGCTACCTGAGTGGTCGACAATCATCGGTAATATTCCGAGGTAAAACATCTAAACCCAGAAAAATTAAACAGGGGGTTCCGCAAGGTGGTGTCCTCTCCCCGCTACTGTTTAACTTTTATATATCGAAACTCCCTCCACCACCAGAAGGAGTTTCCCTAACCTCGTATGCCGATGACTGTACGATAATGGCGTCCGGCCAGGATATTGATGACCTCTGCTCGAAAGTAAACGGCTACCTCGCTGATCTCTCCCACTTCTTCACTGCAAGACAATTACGAATCCAACCGACAAAATCCTCGGCTACCCTCTTCACCAGCTGGACGAAGGAATACAGGCTTGAACTGGATATGAAGGTCGATGACACAAAAATTCCGACGGTAAATAATCCAAAGATATTGGGAGTGACAAGAGGCAGTCTCCTTCAGTCCGCATACGCCCGCAATCACCGCAAAACTCCAGAGCCGCAGCAAAATACTTCAAGCGCTAGTCGGCAGCACCTGGGGTAAAGACAAGGAAACTTTGCTGGTAACTGATAAAAATTGTTCGGTCGGTCTTAAACTTTGCTGCACCATTCTAGGCGGTAGGGACGAACTGAACGCAGATGAAGAAGCGGGGTTAACATACCCGCTACAACAACAACAACTAGCTCCTTCAGTCCTATTCTGCTTGCAAAAGTTGGTGGCATCAAGGTCTCCTGACTAAGCGACAGCTACAATTGCCAAACAGCATATATTAAATTTTTAATGGGTTTGTCATTAGAGACTACCTCATCTATATCAAATGGATATAATGAGGATGGTTACCCAGTGCTGCTGAAGGACCCTTCAATTGTTTTTCACCTGTTGGCCTCCGCCAAGTGAATGCTAGTACTCGGCGACGAAGCCTCTCTCCCACCACCACAAAATTTGCGCTCCTTTATATAATATTATTCTATGCCTTCGACATTTCTAATTTCTCAAATCTCAGTGTAAGCTGAGTGGTGTGTGGACGATGATTCTATTTCTCTGCCACCACATTATCACATAACAAGCATCTTAACTATTTAATTGAATCGTGATATCATTGAATTAATTTTAACATAATTACATATGAGCACTTATTGTGTTAGTGTGTTATTCATAATTTTTAATTTTAAATAAATCTTGGTTTGTTGTCAAACACTCAATCATATGAAAACAAATCAGCTGTTTTTCATATTTGCTACCCTGCAAGAAAGCTCCCGATCATTTTAGCCGACTTATGTCATTAATGTATGATGTCATATTCCGTCAGCTCATAGAACGATTTTTCCCTCACTTTCTTAAGAGCGAAATGACAAATGTGATGTTTACATTTTTGTACGTGTACGTCATTCTCTCTTCGTTTATTTATGCATTTTCGAAATTTTTGTCGGACAAACAAAACACCGCTGAGCGACAGCATTGATACCAAAAGAAAACAATCTTGACGTAAAAATGCAGCAGTCCCGATCTTAACATACAAAGCATGCATATAAAAGAAAAAACAATACAGCTATAAATTCGTTATCAAAAAGCTGCAAAATATTATAAGCGACCCCTTATATGCAGAAGTCTTTAATAGTGCCATCTGTTGGTGACAGCGGTACTACTCAGAAGTTTAAAAAGGTCAAAGTAAAATAAAAACTGAATGTTCGAATCAAAATATTATTAATATCTCAATGCAGTTGTACCGCGAAAAGTTTCGTCGAATATTTTTTAGACCTGCTGATGCTGCACGCGGGGAAGCGTCCACCCCTGCCAATCTGCCGATGAGCTGAATTTTCCATTCCATATGGGATGTCCTTAAACAAAAAAAAAAAATAAAGGGCAATGAAAAATGAACTTGTTAATTTAATGGCAATATATAATTACCATAGCTTCTTTTTCCTTACAAACATTTTTCACTTCCATCTACTAATTGATTGGCAATATATTATTACCATAGCTTCTTCTTCCTTACAAACATTTTTCACTTCCATCTACTACGGAAAAATGGACTAAACTGGCGTTTTACTCGAAAAGTAGAACAAAGAAATAAAACAGATTATCCGTTTTACTGCATATTCTCTCAATTTGTTTTACTCAGAAGAGAAAGAAAAACAAAATAACTTGCCGGCAGAAATAGTGTGGATGGATTGGTGAAACCATCAGCCCGTTCTTGCAGGGTAGTGTTTACTGACTGAAGTTTTCCCAGTTCGAATTTGTAGTATATTATTCATATTAAATATGACTACAAATCAGCTGTTTTTCAAACATGCAACTAGATTGTGGATGAAATTTTTCCAGCGCGAATTCGTAACATTCGCTCCACACTAAACATCAAAACTGCGCACTCTCGTTATTAATTTTACTGGATTTTCCATTTCGATTAGAGGCCCCAGCCTCTGCACCTTTAACCACTTTGGGTAACTACCCACAGAACTCTCCTGCATCCTGCTTTTTTACCTCGTCCTGTGCGAGGGCTACTCAGCAGTTCCTTTTTCACCGCACAGTCTGTTCCGGACATGCTCTAACCTGCACACTACCCGTGAGTCGAACGATGCATGCATTGCCACATGCTGTTGGAGTCTGCCCCTGCCTATATCTAAAAAATCGCCGCCAACCAACACCAATGCGCGAGACAAACCCCAGCGGGTATTACAGCAGCAAAACACCAGACTCACTTCCATGCTCTCCGAATTACGAATGTTCCTCCGAGAGAGACACAATTGGTGCCATTTAGCTGCAACGGACTCCAGAGAAAGATCGATGACATAGTCAACTTTATAAACGTGGACCACCTGTCGATTGCAGCTATCCAGAAAACTAAGCTGACCGCTTAGTTAAGCTGTTTGTAATTTAAATTTGATATACACAGAGGCGGGTGCGTTTCTTCGCTGCAATATGATAGTGGTTCTAGTCGCACGTAACGAACACTTGAGGCATGCCTCCCGTCACAATATGATCGATCTGATTTAGTGTTCTCCACTCAGGGTTCAGCCAATTAGTTTGATGTATTTTCATGTGTTGCAATATAGTACTACTGACAAATATTTTTCGTGCCCCAGCGGAGTCGTTCAGCTTCAACCCATTTGGGGATGTTTCGTTGTGGAGGCTGAATTTTCCCACGGGGTTGGTTACCGCATCTTGCACAAGCGTTGCTCACGTTGCCAAAAGCTTGACTACCTACGCCCCATTATCCGCAATGCTTAGTTCGTCGTATATTCCCGCCGCCTCAGCGGTAAATATAGGGAGGTTTAGATCTCATAAGTTGATAGTAATAGTATATTATAATATGTTATATTGGAAGTTGTTTCTTTTTTGTGCATAGCTCTGAAATGCGGGCTCGTTCGAAAGAATTTTAAAAATCTTAGTGAGGGCTATACCTCATGTAGAATTCCGATAACGGCGATAAAGCCAACTAATGATATTGACGTATGGTTCTTTGCTGATAGTGATTAAGATATGTAGAAGTCGATATGAAAATGGGCGTCCGCACATACAACTTGATATGGAGCAAGGAGTTTCCTACTTTCTCGGAGCCAAGCTAATTTTTCTGCGGTTTATTTTTCTAAAGCTTTTGAAAGGCTATTTTAATAACAACAATAATGGCGGCTTCCCATGTGTTTCGAATTATGCAGGTAGTGATCGTCAGATTTTTTTATTTTGTGTATAAGAAGATTTTTTTTACATTTTGTATGAAATGCTGTCCACTTCAGGAGTGCTTGCTTTTATACTTTTAATTGTGTTTATCATTTCGTTTATTATTATACATATATGTTTCTAGCATCATTACTTGCAGAAAATGTAACCTTGTTTGATTGATGTTTTACTGTCATAAATGCAGGAAAAGAGTCACTATCCGAAGTAGATTGTGCCCAATGTAGAGCGAGTAGCTTTATAATGTGTGGCTATATTTGGCTATAATGTGGTTGTTACTTTCTAGTGCAGCAATTGTTGTGTCTATTTTAATGGTATAGATCATTAAGACTTGATTCCACATGTTTTTAATGGGAGTGTGGCGGTTGATTGAGCTGGAGATAGGTTAAAAGCTGCGAAACAGCCATTTTGACATACACATTTCTTCCTTTCGAAATTATAAAGCTCGCTGTCTTGTTTCGAATGAAATTCGGTCTGTTGGGTCTAATTTGAATGTAATATAGTTGTAATCATCGGGACCATCAAACGGAGCTCCAGGAAAGGAGCCGTTTCGGCGGGTTCGGACTAGAGGGAAAGATGGTATTTGCTTGCACAGAAGCCATTTTGTTCCTTAATTCGTAGCACAGATGTCTAGTAAGTGATGATCTGGCGACATTAGGAGATTTGCTGTCACGATCCTGAGCGCGATGTTTTGACAGATTTGTAGCTTCTCTCTAAAGTGACTCCCAATTCGTTTATAGTCGGAATTTTGAAGCTGTCGACTTTCACATCGAGTTTGATCTGTGCCTTCTTCGTCCCGCTGTTGAATAGGATAGCCGAGGATTGTCTTTCAACAAAGAACAACAACAATTTTATTTCGAAACGATATGCTCTATTCTCGCTTGTTGAGTATTTTTATTAATTAATGCTAAGATATTGATAACCCCCAATTATACTATTGCATATTAATCAAAGCTTTTGCTATTATTAAGGGAAGTGCATATCGTGTAACTATTGTTCTTATCATTTCATGAACTTCTTTTTTTTTAATTCTTTTAATCTAAAGTTAATACCTTTTCAGGTTTGATATGTATTTGAGTGATCGGAGTCCACTACCTCTGAATTATAATCCCTTGCTTATTATGAAGCAGGAAACAAGGAAAGAGTATCAAAATCAATTACTGCGTGCTACTAATTTAACAATAAGTTCGATGAGATTTTGGCGGTCGCTTCAAGCAGATCTTTTAGAACCTGAAATTTATCATTTGAATGCTAAGAAAACTGATACAGAAAATTTTCGAAAACTATTAAGAGTAATTCCACAAGGAGCAGCAACATATGGAGCGTATACTTTTAAAGCATTTCCACTAGATATGAGTCAATACAATCGATTATTCGGAGTATCTAGAATACCTGGAAAAGGGAAAGATACGTTGGTACAACATAAAAAATCAAGTCATATATTGGTATTACGGAGTGGCAACTTATATTCATTAGATGTTTTGGATGAAAACGGAAATATAGAGCAGCCCAACATAATTTACGGGCGTCTGGAAGCTATTTTACGAATGGACAAGCTTAGTGGCGACTCTAGGACACCTGTTGGGGCACTTACATCTATTAACCGAGACGATTGGGCTGAAATTCGACAATATTTAGCCAATAACGTATGCGAAGAAAACAAGCGACTACTTGAAAGAGAAGTAGATGCTGCTCTCTTTTGTTTGTGCTTAGACGCATCAGATGATCCCATGTATAGCGAAGAAAATTTTGTTTCACTTCTGAAGCATTTGTTGGCAGGAGAAGGCAAGAATCGGTATGTAGATTTTTGCATATATAATGATTTTATTATATTAGCTCTATATTAATAGCTGGTTCGATAAGTCTATCTCGTTAATAGTGAGTGCAGATGGAACAGCTGCAATTAATTTTGAACACTCTTGGGGGGATGGTGTTGCCGTACTGAGGTATTTTAATGAAATATATGAGGACTCTATCAGAAATCCTTTCGCAAATCCTGGCATAGTCTCTGTTAGTTCAGATACTACGAAACATGTTAGACCTATCGAGATAAAAACCGATCAGTTAATAGCAGCTGCTATTGAAAAAGCGCTGACAAACAATAAAAATTTAATGGATAAATTAAATATTGATATGATAAAGTGTACTAAAATTAACAAAGAACTGTGTAAAAGTCATAGTATAAGTCCTGACGCAGTAATGCAACTTTCATTTCAACTCGCATATAAACGTGCATTTAATAATTACGTTAGCACCTATGAATCTTGTAGCACGGCAGCATTCCGACATGGGCGTACAGAATCTGTTCGCCCATGTACTATGTCAACAAAACAGGTTTGTGAAAGTTTATTGAAAACGGAGGGCAGGCAACCGGATTTCAATGAAATATATTCGTCAGTAAAATTATGCTCTCAAGTGCATAACAAGTTAACGAGAGAGGCTGCCATGGGTCAAGGCTTCGATAGGCATTTATTTGCTCTAAGACATCAAGCTATTGTTCATGGAAAACAATTGCCAGGAATATATACAAGTGAAGCTTATGCAAAGATGAATCACAACGTTATTAGCACTTCAACATTGTCTTCAAATGCTTTATTAGCTGGTTCTTTTGGTCCTGTAGTGCATGATGGACTCGGAATTGCGTGAGTATAACTTAAATATAATATCGCCTTTTTCTTTTCTTTATACCCCCAATCAAGACTCTAATAAATGTTTGAGGCCGATATGACTAAATGTGGCAGCCTGAGAATGTTTTAAATTTTTGGGAAATTCAATTTTAGTCGTTCAATAGCCGTGCCCGCTGCCACCCGCTTCATTCCGGCATGTCGAATAGCGTAAATCCGACCAAACTTCTCAACCAAAGCACCGATTCTAGCATACAGACGCGAGTCTATTCGTAGCACCAATCTATGGAATTCCCTCATCAGAGATCTTAGTAAGGAGATTCAACGTCAAGTTAACCTCAATAAACGAAACAAGTGGAAGAAGCACTTAAGATTCTGTTACCTCTCCCCTGGAGCATAAAGCTCTGGGATATAGCCAATTTGTGAACAAAGGAGAATCATAGCCGCCGATGTTTCTCCTCTCCGCAGCAGAGAAGACAATTGAGGAATTGCTGCTCCCGTCTTTCTCATACCATCTGAGTCCAGCGGGGCATCACAATGGCCTCAGAAAAGTGCACAGCCGCCCAACCCCGGATAGTCACTTTCCCCAACCATAACGGACAAAGACAAAAGAAACGTTGCTGGCAACCTACAAGACAAATGGCCGGTTGGGCGTAAACTATGTTGCTCTGCAGTGCAAGTCTATAACTTTTATCGACACGATTTGTCGGATCGCAAAGTTGCGAATTTTGTCGCTTGTGCTAACGATTATGCGATTCTCTAACTCAGTTGTTACGATAATCGACATACCACATTTCCATTTTATTAAAATGTATTAAAGGTGGCTCCACAGCTTACCGAAACGTCAAAATGTACGAAAAGCACAAAGAGGAATGACAAAAACAAATAAATTTGTTATTGAAATTATTTTTATTAAATGAATAGCAATGCATTACAAAATTTTTCAAAAGCATTGGATGGTTTGCACTTTCATGCATGATTCTTCGCTCTATAGGGGAGCTCCAAATAAAATAATTGTGCCGCGCTCTTAAGTACTTGCCATTTGCCAGTATAATCTTGCGATAAGGACCACATATCTATGTGAAAATATAAATAGCTTTGTTACTACAATAGTGACCGGAAACAAATTTACTCTCACCATTTGCACATTGATGGAATGGTATCCATGGTGGTTTATATACGCTTCTTCATGATTTTTGGGACTCAAGTGCAATCGATAGCTCCAATAGTACCGCCAATAAATGGTGACGATGACGAAGCGAACTTTTGGAAAACTAACAGAAAACCTCGAACGGTTGATTGCGTCTGTTACGCGATGAATACAACAGTTTACTGACGACTGACTCAAGGACATCCCCATTGCAAAAAATCGCGAGGCGGTTAGAACCTTTAAACATTTTAATAGTGTTAAGACTAAAAAAATATTGAAAAAATATATTATTAACTGTTTCTCCGTAGACATTGCTGTTATTCTTCGTCCTTTTAGTTGACAATCTAGTTCAGAAACGATTTCTTCAACTAAATCCGGCGAAACTCGGTAGCATCCAAATGAAAAGGATCTTCCGCTTCTCGACGCAAACTTCTATCCGATGGGTAGGATACCTCTTCATCTTGTGATAAATCCTATGCCAAATATTCAAAAGCCATTTATTTTATTATTTTATTTTTATTTTTGTATTACTTAGACACTTTACTCTCTTATATGAAATAACAAAATTTTGTCGATATCGCTAACAACTTAAAAATATTCGTCGCTTAGTTAGCGATTTTTCGAGTAGTTTACGACAACAGCGAGAGCGAATATCGTTAAAACAAGTACACCGAATATTAAAATCGTTAGAATTATCGCTATGTCTTCTTTGCGATCCGAAAATCGTTGTAATACGATAGAGAATTGCCCTCCTGATCTGGGATGGTGTTAACGTGCTCTTAGTAAATTGCTTTTGGGGCCTGCCAGAACACCGCCCTCAGAACCAAGACAGATATCCCCATTTGTTGAAGCATATCAATTCCACCTCGAAGCATCTATGCTACGAGTTAAAAAGGAAACAGCTATGCAGTGCAAGCCGTATCTGCTGAACTTCTTTCAACACAACGTACCAGAGCCGCTGGATAGGGAGACTTACTGACAGGCTTCACAGGCCATATACTAAGAGTAGATTAACAACTTCATGAATCCTTTCCTCTAAATTACGTTTAAAACTGGAATATTGCATTCATTATAAACCTTACTTCACTCCGACATACCGAACGTATATCTCGTATTCTATGGGAGCCCGGGCGACACTAACTACTTTTTTGCATGCCCTTTAAAAGCTACTCATCCAACCCGCGTTTTCATGTTACCCGTCGAAACAGCTCGTTTCCTTAACCTAGCCGCTAGAACAACAGTAAATTTAGTGCGTTGTATAAATAAACTAATACAATACTTTCTTTCCGTATAGATAGTTCATAGATCTCTGCTAGTATAAAGGCTTGACGAAGTGGTTTCATACATACATAAATATTTATTTGTTCGTCTAACCCCGAAACGATCATTTCACTATTAAATTTTCGTGAAATACTTCCCAAGCTTCTGATCTTTAGAAATAACTAAGTTGCAGCTAATAAGTTCTGGTTTCACTGCTTCATTCTCATGCGAAGGAATTTGGTCACATCGGCCTCAGTACACTTTCAAAAAGGAAAAAAAACAGCATTGAAATCGCTGACAACACTTTTTTAGGAAATTAATTGAAATATATATATATATATGCATCAGAATTAAAACGATATAGTCATCGATTTTCAAATGTTGTTTTTTATTAAGAGAGCTATTATCTAAAATCTATTTAACTTCAAATTTATTTAACTTATCTTTATTAATTTTTAATTTCATAGGTATTCCATACAAAATGACCATTGCGGTGCCATTGTTTCTTCTTATGAGAATCAATGCAATGGAAAAGAATTTGTTGATAGCCTGGGGATGTCCTTTGATGATTTATTCCAAATTCTTAAAAGGGGACAAAAAAAAATTAGATAATAATTATAACTTTTTTTATTAAAATGTATATTTTGTACGCAGTCAATAAAAGAAAGTTCTTAAAAACAACTGGAATATAATTGGACGTGGGAATATAACTGGACAGTTTTCTTCAGCCAAAAGAAAGTTCGTATTTTTGGATGTAGTATTATATATTCAGATATAAATGGCGAAAAATGAAACAATGGCCCCGACTTCATATTTCGTCATCTTTTTATCATTATTAAAAAAAAAAAACAAAGATTATCTTAAATCAAGTGAGTCAATTTGGCGAAAGTAGGGGGAGAAGCTGCTTGCCAACATACATATATCACCTTTCTTCATTACTTACTTACTTACTTTACTGGCGTAGACACCGCTTACGCGATTATAGCCGATTTACGACAATGTGCCATTCGCTTCTGCTTTTTGCTGTGTGGCGCCAATTGGAAATACAAAGTACAGCCAGGTCCTTATCTACCAGGTGTTCCTTTTCCTTCGCTTCCACCGGCGGGTAATGCATCGAAAACTTTCAAAGCTGGATAATTCGCATCCATACAGATCGCATGACCTAGCCAGCGTAGCCGCTACTTCTTGATTCGCTGAACTATATCAATATCTCCGTATAACTCGTACAGCTCCTCGTTCCATATTCTGCGATATTCGCCGTTGCCAACGCTCAAGGGAGCATAAATCTTACGCAAACTCTCTCGAAACTCCTAACGCCGTCTTATCGGATACTGTCATCGTCCATGCTTCCGCACTATATAGTAGGACGGGAACGATGAGGGAGTTGTAGAGTTTGGTTTTCATTCGTCGGGAGAGGACTTTACTTTTCAATTGCCTACTCAGCCCAAAGTAACACCTGTTGGGAAGAGTGATTCTGCGTTGGATTTCAAGGCTGACGTTATTATTGGTGTTAATACTGGTTCCTAGATAGACGAAATTATCTACGACTTCAAAGTTATGACTGTAAACAGTGATATGGCAGCCAAGTCGCGAATGCGATAACTGTTTGTTTGATGACAGGACATATTTCGTCTTGTCCTCGTTCACTACCAGACCCACTCGCTTCGCTTCTTTATTAAGCAAGGAGAACGCAGAACTAACTGGGTATTGGATCCTTGGGTCACGGCTTATGAGAGAAGAAGTCTCAGTGAAGCCAATTCCAACTTATTCGGTTTAAGGGTCTTCTGAAGTCTAATTGCAGCGTCTGTTCACCAGAGGTGCGACTGCGAGCAGGCGTCGGTCTTGAAGCAAGGGGCTTAGTATATGAATGTGTAAACAACTTTAAACTTACTCGCCAGGCAAGGTTGTGCGCTGGTTTTGGGACCCGCCACGTAGAAACCAGCTCCAATGAAAAATTACACAACTCCACCCTTCTGAATAGCATCATAAGTAACACTGACCACACATGATGGCTGTCAGGTCGCACGCTTTTTTATATACATATATATTTTATGTAATTTCGTGTGAGGTAAGTAATTACCATGTCAAATTGTGTACAAATAGTTATTTGCCTTTTTTTGTTCGAATAGAAACACGCCGACAGGATTCCAGAGATTTTTCAAATAATGAATTGTATTTATACTCTATGAAATTTATGTTGCGATTTCCGGACAATTACCCAGTAATTTGATAAAGTCATTTATTCACAAGTTGATTGATATTAGCTTTGTGACCATAGGCGGTTGTGCAATTCAGTAACGAGAATATGGGTGAGTTCCACAATGTCAGTTGCAAAGCAACCATACAATGACAAGCAATCCTAAATGCCACTGAGCAAACTTTAACGATGTATCATGTTCAAAAATACATCGATAAAGTCATTGATGCGCAAACAAAAGCAAACATTATAAAACTTATTTTTTTGATATGTTTTATGTTTTAGCCATTTCACCGAAAAGCAACTTATTTGCACGAAAAGCGTTACAAAATGTCAGACTTGGCAAAGTATTATTGCAAGGAAAATTTATAGAATGTAGGGTTGCATTGTATTTATTTATTTATAATGCGGTTGTCAAACCGTATTTTGACGTTTTGGAAGTCGTCCTATCGAATGCGATAAAATTTCTTGAACAGCTTTTAGAACCATAATTTTTCATTAAAATAAATAAAAGCTGCTAATAATACTAAGCAGGTCAATGACCTAATTTTTGAATGTGTTAAGTTTACTATTTATTTATAGCTGTTTGAAACTACAGACATTCGTAAGTATTTTGATGTTTATTTACATTTTAATTATTTTCAACATATTCAACAGGCGCAAAGAACCACCTAGGATGATATTAGAAGGAAGGAGACAATCGAGAAAACAAATGAGTAAGAGGCCAAGTATCACCCAGAATCCCTAAAGGGCATCCCAAATTTGACGGATGCTGTGAATAGTCAGGGGTGTTACAGAAACTCATTGTTGTCAGCATCAGAATTGAAACCACCAAAATTCTTCTAACATCGAAAAATTCTATCACCGCCAAAGTCAATCACAAAAATTGAATAAAATTTCTGTTTTTTTTGCACAAGTGAGATGACAGCTGATTCGAATATCGGTTTTGATAATTTTCGCGAAAAGCAAATTCAAGTCGGTTTCATAATACTATTTCAAACAGATAATAAGTATCATTGCATGCGATAAATTAACAATTCTGTGTTGGTTTCTATAACACCCCTAAATATGGCGAATACCATCATGTTAGCATAAGCACTGTCCTCACTTACTCACTTTACTGGCCTAGACACCGCTTAAGCGATTAATTCCGAATATAAATAAACCTGCTTTATGATTATGAGAATAGGCGAGTTCCAAAACCTCAAAATACTTCGTAATGATGCGGTTGCCCGCCTCCAAAAATTAAAATGCGTACTTCAAAAATCAATTTTCATGGGAAAATGAGTTTTACGTTTTTCCATTCCACAATTTATTTTATAGTCGGTTACCTTTCAAAAATCCTCGAATTATAGTTTCCATTCATACGAAAATTTCGGTAAATTTATTAAATGCCTATTTTTTTTTTATAAAAACTCACACACAACTTCTATGTGAAGAAACTTTAGCGGTGTATTAAAATAATCCGCATTTTTGTTGCACTACACATCACAAAATATTCGTCGTTTCCGCAACTTATAGGTTTTGAGTAATTTGTTGCTAAAGTTAAAATTTTGACCAACCAATATTCCTGAACAAAAGCTAGATGTGAAGGTCGATGATACGGTAAATAACCCAAAAATATTGGGAGTAACTCTAGACAGCCTGCACTCCTTCACTCCGCATACGACCGCAATTGCCGCAAAACTCCAGAGCCGCAACAAAATACTCAAAGCGCTAGCCGGCAGCACCTGGGGTAAAGATAAAGAAACTTTGCTGGCTACTAACAAAGCAATTGGCCGACCGGTCGTACACTATGCTGCACCGATCTGCCCGCCGGGGACGAACGAGACGCTGATGAAGAAGCTACAGGCTTGCCAGAACACCGCCCTCAGGACCGCGACAGGAAACCTCCTGATGTCGCCGGAGCACCACTTGCACAGGGAAGCATCTATGCTACGTGTTAAAGAGCATAATGCTTTGCTGTGCAAGCAGTTCCTATTGGGATGCTTCCGCAGGGAGTACCCCAGTAGGCATCTAATATAAGCTAAACCTCCACTTAGGCACATCAGAAAGGGAGAACTAGACCTAAAAGACACAATCCAGCAACATGTACAACAACCGCTGAACAGGACGGCGTTCCGACAAACACTGAACGCCATTCACGAGGAGTCAGTCAACACCTTCAAGGACTCCCTTCCAGTGAATGGCGTACTCGGAGAAATACCACCACCTATAGCAGACAACGAGCACGAGCTGCCTCGAGAGACCCGCGTGACCTTGGCACAACTCAAGTTTGGATATTGTAGCAGGTTAAACTCCTGCTTATCCAGACTAGACCCCAGCATACCCAACGTTTGCCCTGCATGAGGAGAGTCTCCGCACGACACTAACCACATCTTCACGTGCCTTCTCAAACCAACTCATCTAACCCGCGTCTCCCTTTGGTCCAACCCCGTCGAAACAGCTCGTTTCATGGACCTCCCACTAGATGACCTCGGTGACTTAAGGCTAATCAAACTTATGCCTAAGCGAGGTTAGCGATCTGCTCTTGAAGAATGTTTTGGGAAATTGATGGGACTTCAAAAGCTATTATATCCTTCTGGTGATATATTTGGTGTGAATGATGATAGTTAACCGCAGCCCAGCAACACATCCATAGATTTACTTTTACTTTTGGGTGGAAGTTAGGGAAGGTCATATACATAATAAAAATATATGTCGTTCCCCAAGGTAATTTATATTGTATATCAATAAACTGTAAAACCCTAATTTCACAAATAAATTTCCAAAAACAGAAAATTTACCGTGCACAGGGTTTCCGCGTTTTCTCAATTCACAATGTTTCGTTTGCATTGCTGGCACAGAATACCTAAACAAAGACGAAGCGATGGAAGTGGCGATGAATATTGACGATCGCTACAATAACAACAACATTGATGATCGTGTTCGAAAACGAAGACGATTTTCAGCATAAGGCCGACTATAACCTGTTTGCAATGGAGGAGTAACTTTCTTACCTTAGTCTTGAGAATTAGTGTTATATATTTTGCATTTGTAAAACGGCCAACCGATACTGATAAAATATTAATAGCGTTTTTTGTTAATAATCTTTATTTACACGAAATATAGGCAAGATTTTAAATTTTATTGATAGCTAATTTTATATGAATCGATACGATATCACGTCGTCACGCCTATAACTTTTGTTGCTCGTTAGGTTCCATTTTACGGAAGCTCCAACCTCCTTGGCCATCAAATTCCAAAATGTGTGTATGAAATTTCCTATAAATTAAAAAAAAAATGTTACAATATATTTTTGGTAAAGGCTCTTTTTAGTTGTAACCAACATGTAAGAAAACAAAATTAATCATCACATTAAAATTGACTTTTGCCAGTTGGACACCTCAAATATAACAATTATTATTTTAATTAATATACCATAGTGTTGGTCTATGCGTTATTGTTAACAACGTAATATCCATGTTTTTTGCCAATTCGTATATCGAACTTTCCACATCAATAGAAACAGCGCTGGTACATTCGTCTAGTAAGGCGTATCTTGGCCTGATCATGCATAATATTGTATGTATATAAAAAATATCACAATATATTTTACATTTTGTATAAAATAGTTCATTCGACATAGGGACTTAGCAATATACCTGTGATAAAAGAGACGTGCTATTGCCATTCGCTGCTTCTCTCCTCCGGACAGTATATCTTTCCAATCGCGAACTACATTGAAACTATTACTAAATAAAATGTAGAACTAATTTGTGACAATGGGATTAAATATTTTTAAATAATTTTTACCGCTGCGCAATATGTTCCAAGCAGACCATTTTCAAAATTGCACGGAGTTCGTTTTCTGTAATACCCTTACGCTTCATATCTTCCCGGCTATCCGGGTATATAATTTGATCGCAAAGACTTCCTGTCGACATATACGGTCGTTGTGGTATGTAGAACATACAAGGTTTATCCTCAACTAATCGGGGTATATGCAGTTCTCCAGAATAGATGGGCCACAGTCCACATAAGATGCGGAACAAGCTTGATTTTCCACAACCGTTGGGTCCAGTTATAAGAAGGTGCATGCCCTGTTCAATACAAAGAGATAGGCTTTGCACAACGATGTCGCAGTTTGGCGTGACTACTGGTACAGCTCGCAAAAAGATTGTCATATCATTTGGGGTATCCGTGTAAATAATACGACCTTTTGCTATTGGTTTGCCATCTTCAAACTCTATGATACCGTTCATCTCGTTGTTTTCAACTATAGCGTTTTTGTAATAAATTCCTTTCGCTGTTTCTTCAAATACTTTCAACATACCGGCCACACGATGAGTGTATCCAGCTAATGCGACAATTTCTTTATATGATGACATCAGCCGCTCAATGGCATCAGCAGCGGAAATGAGCAAAATTCGAGCTGTGGTTAGATACTGCGTTCTCTCACTTACGTGTGAATCAAATACCTCGATTTCTTTGGAATCGTTTTGACCGATTTTCGGAAAAGTTGCACCAAATGACAAAATCGGCAAAGATACCATTACCATACCAGTCCCAGACCACACATATTTCATGAAGAACTGTTCCAACATAACGAACCACAGCTTTTGCTTGAAAATATTGTTCATTTGATGAACAAGGCGATTGTAGGCGTGTCGCAATTGTTGCAGTTCCACCTTAAAATATTAAAACTCATTGAATGCTGCAGCATATTTGCTATATTTACCTTATGCCCGCCGTAAAAAGCTATTTCTTCAGAATTTGAAATAATTCTGGAGTGTATTTGTCGTAAATAGCCATATCGATTGGCTTCTTCGGCTACAAGTTGCCCAAATTTAGGCGAAACTACCCGCATTATGTGAGCAGTTAATAATATCACGGACACGGCTAACGTTGGACCTATTAGAATAAAATATTTTTACAACATAAACTTCAATTTGTATATTGAAAATACCTGAAAAAATATTGGCTCTCATTTTTTGTGTGGACCTCATTAAAGCGAATCCAATAAGCATTAAGTCAAAGCATGGTTTCGTAACACTACTATATAAATGTGCGACTGAGCTGGCAAATACAGCTATGTCCTCTGTCAATCTAACAATATTTAAGATAAGAAAGGTTAGTTAGAATGGTTTTAAATGTATAATTTATAGTTAATGTCTTCCTTTAGGCTAACGAGAGCCAAGGAAAAATATATGATTGACTTTTATATATTCGACAATTTCTTTCACAATTCTCTTACTTTTTATAGCCCAGTTAAATAAGAAAGTTAGCATGAATATTCAGAATACTGTAACAAATAAACTGTGATCGATCCCTTTTCTTAAAAAAGTGTGTTAGTAATGTCCTGTTATAGCGGTTCAAAGAATTCAAACCAAATTTTATTCCTTTATTAAGCTCTGATGAGTTTTGAAAAATAAAATATAGTGTGCATTTTGTTATCGGCTTGCATAGCATTAGTATTGACTTTGAACCAAACGTGCTTGTGTCCATTTTATTATACGTGTCATAAATCGCCGGAATTGATTGGTTCTTGCAACAACTTTTGTTTTAATAAATCAAAAAATTTAATATGTTCTAACTAAAGTTTTAAATATTTCTTATTGATTGTATTTCTTTCGAAACTGCATGTTTCTTTGAGAAACCGTAGAATACCGGTACGGACTCACCACAATATTTAGCGAAGTATGGAATTAAAAACAACAAGTAAGTTAGTAAGATATATTAGAAAGAAATATACAAAGTAGGATATTCTTATATACAAACTATATATAAGCGGAATACACGGTAATATCTTATGAATATGGAAATATACGTAAATATGCGCTGTGTTAAAACTGCTTGTATGAAAGACTAAAAGCTCAATGCGAACATAGCATTAAATAGTTTAATGTTGATTCGAAAGGTATCGCTGATAAATTTCCAGCAGCGCTGCTGTGAGCAGAGATGAGAGAAATTTACCCAAATATTGAAGGCTTTTGGCTACAACACCCTTTAACCTAAATATTTACCATAGAGCCTACTAATTACTATGATGTCAAAAGCAGCTTTAAAATCGATGACATGGTTGTTGTTGTAGCGGCTGTTCGGTTAGGGATAGGCTTGTTAATCTAAGTCGCCGAGGTGATCTAACGAGTGGTTCAGGAAACAAGCTGTTTCGATGGGTTCGGATCAGCTCGAGCTCTTCATCTTCTATGGGCTGTGGTTTGAGTCCGGGACCGCCAATTCACACGGAGAGTGTTCATGAAGATGTCAACTGACCCTTGGTGAATGGCATTTAGTGCTTGTCAGTACACCGTCCTGTGCAGCGTTTGTTGAATATGTTGTTAGATGGCGTCATTCACATCTAGTACTTTCTTTCTAATGTGCCTGAATGGAGGTTCAGCTTCAATGAGATGCCTTTTGGGGTGCTCCCTATGATAGCATCTGCACAGCAAAACATTATGCTCTTTAACTCGTAGGTCGATGATTTACTGTGCAAGTGATGTCCTGGCGACATCAGAAGATTTTCTGTCACGGTCCTAAGGGCGGTGTTTTGGCAGGGTTGAACCTTCTTCAAATGCGTCTCGTAAGCCCCAATACAACCGATTTGTTTAGATATGAGGTTTTGTGTCAAAACTTCGTCGAAACGGCATCGAAGAACATGAATATTGGTATTAAAAGCTCATATACTGAACTGTACTTTAGTACATAACATCATCGAAAAAAGAAAACTATATCAACTCAACAGCTCAATACAATCAATTTATTAGTCATATATGAGGTTAGGGTTAAATTATGAAATATTCCCCATATAACGATTTATAAGAGAAAATAAAAAATATTGATCAATATTTCTATCAAGCTAGAATAATTTTGTTAACCTGTACCAATCTTGATAAAATATAAAGCAATGGAATGTAAACAGAAATCAGCTGTTTTATATTCTTTTATAACAATGAAACAATAGTTAAACAAATATGAGATACAACTAAGTAGTATAGTGGAAAAACGTTTGTGTAATTCGTTGAAAATTTTCTGGACCTCGTTTCTTTTCGTATATACTGAAATGTGTATAATGCAAATGCTTTAGTGAACATCAAAACCGCCATTTTAAAACGACAATACAATTTCCGGCAGAACTATATAGTTTGTTGTACTTCAGCTCTTTAGAAAAATTAGGTTCTCCCACTAAAGTTCGAAGCCACGGGTCTGGAGGATAATCTTGATCGTCAATAATTGTCAGTGGGTGGACGAATGAGATCTTCCCGTAGGTCACAGGCTGCCCGAATACCAGAGCCGATTTCCTAACAAGTTTGGAATACGTGTCAGACCATTTAGTTTAAGTGGTTGTTTTTATTTTCATTAATACATACCCTGTTTTTACATCAGTTTCTTCCTCTGCCGCACTGGGAAATTTTATTTCTCCTCTCTTCACCTTTACAATAAGCTTCGCCACAGCTCGCAAACTTCTGGAAATAGACGACTGACTCATGTGCAAATCGAAGTTGTTGCATATAGATTTTTGGTAACGAAAATAGTGATTAGCGTCTCGTGTACTTCTAAAGTAACGCCAATAGGGATCGTATTGTCGCAACATTTCCATTCGCCCAACAACAACAATATAAGTAAAACATGTATCTTCCATTCTAACAAATTGTTATTCACAATAAAGCACAAACAGTAAAAAGATGTTTTATTTGTATAAAACACTGTCAAGACCATTTGACATTTTTATAATTCATCAAGAAAAGAGCTCTTATGACACAGAATAGACAAATCTTGAGAAATAAGCAAGAGGTTGAAGGTAGGCCAGATAATTTGGCGCATTGTAACTGCGGAACCGAAGGACATAATATGTTCATTTTTACGTTTACTTGGGGGACAGAAATAGAGCGAGTTCCAAAACATTAAAATACTTTGTAATGCTGAGCATCATTACAATGCAAACCTTCATTCTATAAATTTGTCTTGCAACAATACTTTGCAAACTCTGATATTTTGGTAAGCTTTTCGTGCAAATAAGTTGTTATTCGGTAAAATGGCTACAATATAAAAGAGATCAAAAATAAGTCATCAAATGCTTAAAAGAAAATTAGAGCAAAAAAACTTGCCCTCCGACCTCGCTAAGCGCAGTTTGCTTTTGTTTCTGCATCAATAACTTTACCGATACATTTTGGCATCATATAAAAAAAATTAAAAGTATGGCCGCAAAAACAATTACAATACATATCAAACACAATTCTCATGACAACCGCTTTTACTTACCGGAGTTGGCGTCGAAAGCAACTCTGGTCCGACAAATTACTCTTCCTGCGTGTACTATAAGTGTGTACCTTCTGCAGCATTGCGATCTCCGAATAAATACCCGCGGAGCTCTACACTCACGGTGCTCCTCGTAGTATGACTCTCATTCAACACACCCATTCCTAGGTTCACATCCTCCCGTGCAGGGTCTACCCAGCACCTCCTAGTGCCTCGTGGGAGTGCGTGTCTGGTCAAACTAGGTTGAACCAAAGGAGCTCTGGTAAAAACGGATAGTCTGGTGACCAATGCTGACCCCAGCAACAGACCACTTCATTTGCGTGAGAGGAACACGAAAGGTCCTGCAACCTCTCTGGAATAGCTAGCTCTGGACTACAATCAAATCATTGTCAACACCGACGAGAATCGATGACCTCAGTGTTCGCTCCTCGACGGGACCGAAGAGGTGCTGCTATCGGTCATTGAGACCTCATACCAGCAGGGTTGAAGAGGTCATGGGCTACCTGAGTGGTCGTCAATCATCGGTAGAATTTGTTGTTTAATTTTTAAATTTCGAAACTTCCTACTCCATCAGAAGGGGTTTCCTTAACCTCATTTGCCGATGACTGTTCGATATTGCCGTCTGACCAGGATATTGATGATATTTGTTCGAAAAATAACTACTATCTCGCCGACCTGTCCCACTTCTTCACTGCACGACTGCTTAAAATGCAGCCGACCAAATCCTCGGGTACCCTCATCACCAGCTGGACGAAGGAAAACAGGCCTGAACTAGATAAACGACGTGTGTTCAAAAAGTATAGCTAATTTTGAGTTTTCGCGGGTGATATGTAATCGAGTTTCGATTTTTTTATGGCGTTATGTTGGTACTCATGTCTCACTTATGCCGACAAGCTCGGCCATTTTGAATGTTCACCTAATTGTTGACAGCTGCTTTGGATGGTCTTCGATTTTTACCCATTCAAAAAAATTACATCAAAGAACCCGTACAAAATTTTGTGTGAAAAACGAAATTAAGTGCGCGGATGCATTCCGAATCTGCATACGGAGAAGCTACCTTGGTCCGAAGCAACGTTAATCGGTGGTACAAAATGTTCTCAGAAGGCCGATTAGATGTGAACAACGAAGAGCGTACCGGACGCTCGAGCACTTCAACAACAGACGAAAAAATTAATTGCAGGGGCGTGGTGCATCATGAGTAGAACGGTCAATAAGGAATCTAACCTGCAAGTTATGCGCAATTTGTGCGAAGCAATCCGCCAGAAACGTCCAGATTTGTGGAAGAACAAAAATTGGCTTTTGCACCACGATAACGCCCCTGCTCACACATCGTTGCTTGTGCGCGACTTTTTGGACAAAAATGATGCTAATGATGCCGCAGCGCAAGCGTTTTCTTGTTCCCTAAACTGAAGAGGCCCATGAAACGACGACGTTACGCTACGATTGTCGAGATAAAGACGGCATCGAAGGAGGAGCTGAACAAGATAAAAAAAAATGATATTTTGAAGTGCTTCGAAGATTGGAAAAACCGTTGGCACAAGTGTATAATACCTCATGGAGATTACTTTCAAGGGGACAAAAAAAATATTCATGAATAAATAAATAATTTTTGAAAATACACGAAATTCGCGATATTTTTTGAACACATCTCGTAAAGGTAGAAAACGTGAAAATTCCAACAGCCTGCACTCCTTCACTCTGCATATGACCGCGATTGCCGCAAAACTCCAGAGCTGCAACCAAATACTCAAAGCGCTAGCTGTCAGTACCTGGGCTTCAAACAAGGAAACCTTGTTGGCAGATTGGCCGAGCGGTCGTTAGCTAAGATGCACCGATCTGCGCACCGAAGA